CCGTGTGTGTGAAATGGTTTGCTTGGGGACAAGGAAACGTCTAAGTGTGGGGGAGTGATTCGGGCCTAATTGCACATATTTTGCCCCCGGTTTGCTTAGATTTTTGTGCCAAATTCGCTCATTAAATGTTGGTTTTACGCGAGGTTTTCGTGTTTGAGTACTTTTCAGGATTTAACAGGAGGAACCAGCCTCGGAGTTGAAGGATTGGCGAAAAGGATCGAAAACCGGGAGAAGAGGTGAAAAAGCGCAAGTTCTCACGGCTAAAGGCAGGAGTTCACGGTCGTGCAAGACCGTGAAGAAGGGGAGTTGACCATGAAGCACAAGGCGTACAGAGCCAAGTTGAAGGTTACTGACGCAAGGCAAGTTCACGGTCACTAAGACCGTGAACACAAGTCGTTGCCCATGAACTAACGTGAGCGATGCAGAGCGTTTTGGCGCAAGGCTTGAGTTCACGGACGTGTTTGATGGTTCACGGCCGTGAACTCAGCTCGTCTCGGGTTTAAAAGCTGAGTTGCAGGGAGGAGAGAAGGGAGAGCCACTTTTGTGAGAGAAACACCTTTTTCAGCATTCTAGTGAGAGAAACAGAACCAAAAGAGAACAAGAGGTTAGTGTTTGGCTTCAAATGAGATTTTGGGAAGGAAATCACAACTCAAGGTTGAAGAAGAGAGGAGGCATCCCCAAAAGTTGGTTTCCACCTTTTCCCCTTTCGTTCTTCCCACTTCTTCCATGGAGTAGTCCTCCTTTCACTTGGGTGTAGTGAAACTCTAACTCTACCATGTAGTTTTCTTGTATGTGGTTTGGATGATTGATATTGGGTATTGTTCAATTTAATGTTTGAGGCATTACTCACCATGATTTTGCATGCTTGTGCTTAGCAACTTAGGGGTTGTGCATATGTTGTGCTTAGCATCCTAGGGATTGTGCATAATTGTGCTTAGCACCCCTAAGTTTGTGCATATAGGTGCTAGTAATCTAATTTGCCAACTTAGCCTAGTTTAGAGAAGAAAATCCCCCTATTTAAGGGAGACTCAATCGAGTTAGTTTTCCTTCTACTTTCCAAGCCACCTAAACTAGGTTGAGTTAGGGCAACCCTGAATATAGAATTGAACAAGTCGATTAATCGTAGTTAAACCGTCCAACCTTAGAGTTGAGTGAGGAAGTAAGTCGACTACCGATTATCTAAACCGAGAGGGTCGAGTGACACGACCTTTCATCTTCACCTCGGTTTAGTAATCGAGACTATGGTCTCCGACCACATACACTTTCCTCTGGTGTTCACAATTAACGTGCCCTAAGCAATCGTTCCAACCCACGTAGCATGGTAGCAGTTAGGGGGAAGCGAAACCAAAGTGACTTTCCCACAAAAGAGTTTTCAAACTAAATTACTTTAGCTTTCTTTCATTTATATTGACAAACCTTTAAACCAAAGTTTTACCGCTAGATAATGATTTCAACAACCGAAGTAGGGGTAGACAGACCGGCCCCGGGTCGATATATAAATACTTGCCCTATACTGCCCCCGATTAGAGTTTACAAACTTGGGCTCTAATTGGAGTTTAATTGTGGTGTAGTTTCGTGCGAATCATCTTTCCATTAATCTTATAATTATAAACTAAATTAAGTAAATAAGCTGCAAGTATAATTCCTTGAAAATACTAAGAAAATAATTACATGTGTACAATAATATCAAATACATAAAGAAAAATAATTTTACTTTTTAGAACAAATACATATGTATCTGTATAATTGGGAGGATTTGGGTTGGTTAGAGACAAAATCATGCCCACTCATTACCCCCTATATTCAAATTTGAATTTTATCAATACCCACTGATTATCCTTCGGGTTCGAGTTTTACCCTACCTAGTTAGATCGGATTCTCGCAAGCATCCACAGTCATGAATATTTTTACGCCAAATCGTGACTTTGATGTATTTTTGAAATATTGACGATTGTGACAGAGAAGAGATAAATGAGAAGATTAAATTAATTTTATTCATATATATTGGGTAGTGTAGAGAGATGGGAAATGATTATGGAGAAACGAGGCAGATCCTCTACGGATGATATTCAATTCATTTTAAATTATGTAACTATCTAAAGGTCACATGCCAAAGTGAAAATTAATATTTTGTTATTTTTAAAAATTATGTACTCTGTTAACAGAAAAGTAGGTTTAACCACCCACACAAATTTGGTGTCACCTATTTTGAGAATTGTTGCTGATTTAAATGGATTCAATTGCAAAACATTACTTGAGTTTGAACCGAAAAAGTCAGTGATATGATATTTTTTGTTAAAATTGTGGTTCAACATTTTCATACTACTAAAGTTGTTAATAGACTTATGCTCCAATAGGTTGTTTTTTTTTTTTTTTTTTTGCTAAACATGTTTTTTGTTTTCAGGTTTCATTTTCAGAAGTCAAAAAAATTCAAAGCCATACAACATTTTTCCATGAAATGGTAGTTTCCTTTCGTTCATGTTTTGTTTTACATTGTCGAGAGAAAAAAACATAATGGTTACTAAACGAGGCTCATTTCCCTGTTATTGAGCCTTGCCATCTACTTTCTCTTGACCCATAAATAAATTCCTTTCATCTTCCCTTCTCATTCCACTAAATTTGAGTGTCCCAGTGACATCTTTCCCTTCTTCATAATATACCAGAGCCTTTGTGGAATGTACTTCCTTTTGTCGTACGGTCAAAATCGCTTTTCCCGCTCCTAGATTCATCTTGCTTTTTAGGTGAGATTAATCTCAAGAGCATGCGTATTTTCTTTGTAGCTCTATAAGTTAATTATATCATAGTTTAAATTGAATTTTGGGGGTTAGACACGTAATAATTAAATTCGGAGATGAATCTTTGGTACTGGGAGGAGTCTGATTCCTTTACCTGTTCTGGGAAGGATTGCCACAATTTTTGTTGTATTTGTTATCAAGATTTTCTCTTGGTCCGGAATTTAAAAATCTGTCTCTTTCGGTTATTGAGGAATCATAAGATCTCGGCGATATTTAGCTTTCAATTTATTGAAACACTTTTATGCTTCTAATTTTTTTTAGCCCATTCATTTATGGTGGTGACTAACAATCAGCAACGTGCCCTTTCAAATCATACAATTTTATATCTATAAGACTATAACATGTGTCGTGATCAACAAAGATGATAAATACTGAAAAACATTTTTATAGATATATTGGACTATATCAATGATCAAACATAAAAGCTTTCTTTGTAAACATGTATATTGCTATCAGTTGCATATCTTTGCTATTGACGCACATAATACATGATAACAATACGTACAAAATATGAAATCATATTTGCTATTTACATGCACTATACAATACCTACCAAATTGGGAACAGATCAGGTCAGTAACCTTATGGCGAGGAACCATGAGTAACCTGTCAACATCAGCATGACATCAGAATCTCTCTCTCCTGCAAAGCCTTTAATTTTCCCCTCCTTAATCTTTGATGAACGATTTTTCACTCGTTTTAAGACGAAATTTAATTTTTTTTTTGCACAGTTAGATCAAATTAATTGTGCTCTTCAAAATAATATTCACTTTGATATATTTCTCGAACAAAAAAATTGAGACATTTTTTACCAGTCTATACCATATGGTATTGACTGGTATTGAAATAAGAGCATACCTACAGTTTGAAAAGCGTATCATGCTGGTATAAACAAACCAAGACTGTAGGATGGTTGAATACATGATAGTAGAAGTATATTAACTGTCATTTACGACTTTTAACATTGTGTACCACTAGATACCACCCCGTATTGTATGGTGTTGTGTGGTATTTTTTTTGTCCTGTAATTTGTTCACCCAGAAATTTGTAGATCCAATAGATCATGATGAACTCATCCTTCTGTGCAAACGTTTTAAAAAACGAAGAAGATACCACATGATATACAGTTGGTACCGAGAGGCAAGAAATTTTTTTCTAAAAAAATATTGAAAATGTATCTCAATTTGTAGAGGACAACGAACTCGTTCCATCTGTGAAAAAAAAAATTAAAATCCAAGTTAAAACGAAGAAGATATGAGCCGATTAAGAAAGTTAGAGAAAATAAAAATGGTCTTTAATTCTCCATCCTTAGATCTGAATTTTCTAAATAAAGGGTTCAGATTTAATTATTGATAGGTTATGCACCCTATCTTGAGCCTACCAAATACATAATAATCAAACTACCCCGTCCAACAGGCCGAGCCCGGTGCTAGTAAGTAGGCTGTTAATGAGCCGAGCCGAGATTTGCCTTGTTCATGTTCGACTCGTTTATAAAAGAGCTGAGCTCGAGCCCGGCTCGTTTACTAACGAGCTGAGTCGAGTCTAACACTAGCCAGCTCATTTATTAAATCTAGACGATCGTTAAGATCGAAAATTTGGTTCGAGCTCAACTCTAAGATAATTATAATATAAATACCCTATATTTATATGTCATATGTGATACAAGTTATTACCTAATGTTATGTCATATATGAGACGTATTTGCTTACATATACTCAATGTATTAAACACCATATGAGGTGATATACACAATTTAATAATTATATGCATCATTAACAAAACAACTCATAAAATATAGATTGATTTCCTTATAAACTGTAATCGAGTTAGCTCTCTAGTCACACTGTTGGGACATCTCATAAGCTTAAAACGAGACAGTTCATGAGGTGTATTAAACGAGCCACCTAATCGAGCTAGTTCACGAGCTTCACGAGCCGAACAAAGTAGAGCTCAAACTTGGCTCGTTTATTAACGAGTCGAACTTTATTTTAATTAAACAAACTTTTATCAAGTTCGAAACCGAACTGCTCTAGTTCTACTCATTAATAGTCCTACTGTAAGTAAAGACACAGACCGGAAATAATAACCCTCCATCAATGAACCTTTAATTAACACTTAACAGAGATAAAAGGACAATAAAACTGAAGAATAAAACAGAGAGGTCGGGCGTAAGTAACATAAAAAAAGGTGGGTCTGGATCGTACCCTCAAAACCTTCGGTTCTATAGTTCTATTTGTCTCTTCCCCTTCCAAACTCTGCAGCATTGAAATCCTCTCTCTCTCTCTCTCTCTCTCTCTCTCTCTCTCCTCCCGGCAGCGCTCTCCGCCATGACCAGCTCCTCCGCCACCGCTCGCAAGGTCTTTCCCTATCTTGTAACTCCTACTGTTTCCATCCCCTAACTCGATGAATTGTCAATCTTCTTCTTCATTTCGGAAATTGATCTCGGTGTCTGCGGGTTTCTCTCTTGGATGATAATGGACGGTTACTTTCAGGCACTGAGTAAAATTGCCTGCAATCGGCTTCAGAAGGAGTTGGTGGAGTGGCAGGTCAATCCTCCCGCTGGCTTCAAACACAAAATCACCGATAATCTCCAAAGGTTTCGTCCTTTTCTTTTCCCCATCCTTCCATTTGATGAAAAACATTGAAATTTCAGCTCTAAGTTGCCTGCTTTTATAGTTTTGCTTAAGAAAGACTGCTTCTTTAAGTTTCTGTGTTTGTTTCAAATTCCGACAATTCTAGTTGTGGGTAGTAGTAATTTTATTTTCCGTTGAATGAGTATTAGTAATTTGCTCTCCTTCGTTAGATTATAAGTCTATTGGTGGTTTTGGAAATGGAAGGTGGGTGATTGAAGTAATTGGAGCTCCTGGAACCCTCTATGCTAATGACACCTACCAACTTCAAGTTGATTTCCCAGAGCATTACCCAATGGAAGCTCCCCAGGTTTGATTCTGCATCATCATTTCTTTCTTCTCTGTTGTTGTTGTTTATGCTGTGCTTGTGATGTTCGTTTTGCTTGGACTTTTGGACTGTGAGCAGGTTATATTCCTCCATCCAACTCCATTGCACCCTCACATTTACAGTAACGGCCATATCTGTTTAGGTAAAACCAACGACCAAAAGATTCCTACTTGCTCATCATAATCGAATGTGTTTGTGTTGTACCAGTAAGCATCTATAAATGTTTTCTTCACTTTGATTCCAACTTCAGTTTCCTGGACCACTTTCTCTTTCAATGTCTTCAAAATAGATGTTCTATCCTTCTTGGCCTTGGGTTTACATCAATAATAAATTTTTACCTTAATGACCAAGTTAAATTTGTCCTCCCATTATGTCGAAAGTGATAGGTTTGCCCCTGGGTATTGCTTTTATACTATCTCTGCTTTGAGTATCAACTGGATTTGGTGTGCACGGTTTCTGTTCCCCTTTGTAGATATTTTAGTTATGTACATTTTTTTTTCTGGAGTAACTGTGACTATTATCCTCTTAAATTACTGAGACCTGCAAGATCAAAATCAAGTTCAACTTAGCTTGTAGATGTTAGCTAATCACTTTAATATGCGGAGAGTTGGTTTGCCTTCTCTTGGGCTTTGCATGCAATACAAGGCGAAATGTCTTGCAGTTCACCGCTGTCTTGAGATGCATCTTATGAAATGAATATCTTGATAATGATTCAGTGAAGCTTTGTGCTGATGTCAGGGACCTGGCACTTCATATTTTGGGGTCTCAATGGTTCATTTATCTCATCCTACTTTTGAATGGCTGCATAAGCTGGATGGATTCCCTCAGAATGTGATTTTGGTGCTTCTGCATGTGGATAATTAATGTGATTAATGCACGTTTTTGTCTACATTTATCAAACTAAAGATGATTGGTTCAGCTGCTACATAGGAGACTCTTATGCAATATGCATCCTTCGATTTTTGTGAAAAGATATCCAAAGGGCTTGACCATATATATTCACTTGCTTTGCCGGTTTTATCAAGTTCTTCCTTTTATTCCCTCCCCTTTTAATGCAATGAAGTGGGTAGTTTTGTCACGTAGAGGCTCACATCAATCAGTTATTTTCATTTGCAGATATATTATATGATTCTTGGTCACCTGCCATGACTGTTAGTTCTGTTTGTATCAGTATCCTCTCAATGCTGTCAAGCTCAACTGTTAAGGTTTGATCTGTAGCTCACTAGTATCTCTACTTCCTTTCTGTGGTTTATGGTACTGTGAGCTGATATGACATTGATTTCTCTGGTGGCTGCAGCAACGCCCTGAAGACAACGATCGCTATGTAAAGAACTGTAGGAATGGCCGATCTCCAAAGGAGACCAGGTGGTGGTTCCATGACGATAAAGTGTAACAAACAAGCTGAAAAAGTTGTCACCATCTACCGGTAGTTTGAAATAATTGCAGTTTTGTGGTGGCAACCGTTTGCTAGAGGAGGAGAAAAATCGAGTGTGAGGAGCATTCAGAACCCTAAGCCTTTCTCTGAATGGTCGATGCATCTCCTGTGTAAATTTGCAATGCCTGTTTATGTAAAGTAAAGGTAGAGGAACACTGTTGTCTTTCTGGGAACATCTTGGGAAGATACTCTTCTTGTCTGTTCTTACTCGACTTCTTTGCTTCTTCTAGCTGTCTGATGATTGGTGTTGTGAGCAACACACGACGCACAATTTATGAACCATTCTCTTTGTACCAAACTTGTCTCCATGGCCATGCTTTTTCCCAAAAGCCTTCCACTCCCCAATCGCCATCAATTTTGTTAAGCATCAGTTTAGCAGTTTTCCACTCTCATGTTGCTGTCTGTCTACTATGGCTACTTTAGGGTTTGATCTACATGTATTTAAAATGAATGTATTTGAAATACATGTAATATTGTAATTCAAATTGGATACTCATTTCTAATTTGTTTGTATTTCAGATTTTATGATTTTTAATTTTAATTTGGAATTTTTTGTCAGTTACTACAAATTTTATTAAATGATATTTTAATACCCAAATTTATTTTTTCTAGCAATTTAGTACCTAAATTTCTAAAATTTTACAAAAGGTTAAAAATTTTGGTTGTAAAATTACTTTTTGGTACCTTTTTATATTATGGCGCACATTATAACATCTAAAATTTAACAAATTGATCCAATCTTTTGTTAGGAGGAATTTCAAATCACTAGTTGTACTGAACTTTTTTTTTAGTTGTACCAAACTTCAAGTTGTACTATAATGTTAAATGTACAACTTGAAGTTATACCATAAACGTAAAAACTAAAGCACCAATTCTTTAAAGCTTTGTAAAATTCCTCTTGTTGGAATGTATTTAATGTTGGTAAGTAATACACTAGACATGTATTTGGAAATCACCCCATGAATTTGGCACAAATCCAAATACCAAATGTAATTAATATACAAACAAATGATTTGACAATTTGAAATCCAAAACACAAAAAACCAAATCCAAATCGTTCTATCAAAACAGATAAACGGTTTGGTTACCGTGGTAACCGTTTTAACCGGTACTATTTGGATAATTTGGTTTGGTTAATTTGGATAATTGGTTTGGTTTGGTGAAAGTTTTTAGCTTGTTTGGTTTAGGTGGTTTGGTTTGGTTTCAGACACTCCTAACCAGTCAAACCACATTAACCAGTTAAGTAAATAGTCATATATCTAACATATATTATATACACATACTTAATTCTTTGCATAATCACTCAAGAGTAAACGTTCATCCCTTTTAGACTCATAAAATATAAAGCTCAATATTGCTCATATAGTGTATATTTGTATATGTAAAGTGTAGACCACAACATATGAACGCCTAATTTAGATAAATTTCATACATTATGATGGATGAAAACTTGAAAGGAAGGTCATTCTGGCCTATGATAATTGCTAAGAGACTAAGTCAATTTACACAAACACAACAATTCTTTAACCCATACCATTGTCATAAATTTTTGTTAGGTGAATACTTCTATACTAATCGTAAGATAATTGTCTTAGTTGTATGTATTTTTGTTAAGGGTCACTATAACTACGTGTTGATTGTTATGTTTTATTCATTATATAAATTACGAATTGTTGCATTACCCGAAAAATTTTCATCGTCAATGATAATGTGATTTTATATGGGTTAATTTGGTTGTTGTATTAGTTTGGACGGTTTGTTTATGATATTGTATTCCATGATTAATGGAATTTAGCCTTATTTGGTTTGGTTATAACCATGGTAACCATTTGAACACCTCTAGTGTTGGCGAGTGATGTTCTGTCGATTGTAATTGTAGTATGACTCTGTAATGAGTTCTAAATTGGACCTTTAAATCTAAGTGGGTCCAGAAAATTAGATCTAAGGGTTGTCAATTAAAGACATTTTATTTTCCTAGTTTTCATAATCAGCTCATATCTTCTTCCTTTTAACTCGGATTTCAAAAAATTTTGCACACATGGAACGAGTTCGTTGTGCTCTACAAAATGAGATCAATTTTCAATATATTTCGAGAAACTTTTTTTACCAACTACATACCATATGGTAACTTCTTCATTTTAAGTCGTTTTTTAAAACGTTTGCTCAGAAGAAACAAGTTCATCATGATCTATTGGATCTACAAATTTCTGGGTGAAAAAAATACTGGACAATAAATTACCATACTTTACCACTATGGTATGTGGGTGTCTAGGTGGTAACTTGTGGTAAACAATGATGAAAGTCGTAAATGACAATTAGTATACTCCTACTATCATGTATTCAACCTTCTTACCATATTGGTATGTCATACCATCATGGTACGCTTTCTTACTATATGATATTAAATACGAGCATACCATATGGTAATGACTGGTAAAAAATTATTCATTTTTTTGTACTAAAAATATATCAAAGTGGACATCATTTTAAAGAGCACATTCAATCTGATTTATCTGTGCAAAAAAATTTAAATTTTGACCTAAAACGAGAGAGAAATCGTCCGTTAAAGATTAAAGAGGAAAAGATAAAAGACTTTCTAGGAGAGAGGAGATGCTGATGTCATGCGGATGTGGACAGGTTACTGATGGTTACTCACCCATACGAGTTACTGACCTGATCCAGTCTTAGGATAAGGTCAGTAACCAATGGTTACTAACCTATGAGTAACTAAATATGGACCTTTAGATCTAAGTGGGTTTAGAAAATTCAGATCTAAGGGTTGTCAATTAAAGACATTTTATTTTCCCTAGTTTTCTTAATCGGTTCTTATCTTCATCGTTTTAACTCGGATTTCAATTTTTTTTGCACAGATGGAACGAGTTCGTTGTGCTCTATTAAATGAGAACAATTTTCAATATATTTCGAGAAATTATTTTTTTACCAACTACATACCATATGGTAACTTCTTCGTTTTTAAGTCGTTTTTTAAAATGTTTGCTCAGAAGGAACGAGTTCATCATGATCTATTGGATCTATAAATTTCTGGGCGAAAAAAATACTAGATCAAAAATTACCATACTTTACCACTATGTTATATGATTGGTAACTTGTGGTAAACAATGATGAAAGTCGTAAATGACAGTTAGTAATACTTAGTATACTCATAATATCATGTATTCAACATTCTTACCATATTGGTATGTTCATACCATCATGATACGCTTTCTTACCATATGGTATTAAATAAGAGCATACCATATGTTAATGACTGGTAAAAAATTATTCAATTTTTTTGTACTAAAAATTTATCAAAGTGGATATCATTTTAAAGAGCACATTTAATCTGATTTATCTGTGCAAAAAAATTAAATTTCGACTTAAAACGAGAGAGAAATCGTCCGTTAAAGATTAAAGGGGAAAAAATAAAAGACTTTCCAGGAGAGAGAGGATACTGATGTCATGCTAATGTGGACAGGTTACTCATGGTTACTGAGCATAGAGTTACTGACCTGATTCGTTCCCTTATTTTTGGAGTGCGAATTGGATTTGGGAGAGCGTGATTCCTTTGAGTACTGGTATATAGGAGCGACGAAGGTGGGCAAAAGGCGAACAATCGTCGTCAACAGCTTGAGTTAAAAATGCCGCTTTCGACGAAACACATTCCTGGCTGTGATGATTTCCCCTGTTTTCTCTGTTGTTGCTTTGTTTTCGTGTACTTAAATATAGGGGGTTACGAGTTATGAGTGACTTGAAAGATTGCGGTGAGATTTAGCCAGCGAGCGGACCTGCAGCGGTTGCCCGAGGAAGCTTGAAAGATTATGGTAAGATGGAGGCGGTGAGCAGTGTTGAAGTGACGATATAGTTTGTTTAGGTATCTTTTAGTAATTAACCCTTAATTACCAGAATTACCTAGATAGACTAGAAGGGTTCGGTTGTTACCCTATGCCAACGTATATATATGTATCTTTGATGTACAGGAAACCCTAAGCTGAATAATATTGACTCTGGAGAGTTATACCTCTCCCGTGGACTAGTCCTAATAATCAGGGAAACCACGTAAACTCCTGTGTTCGTGTTCCTTAATTTCGACTTCTTATCATGGTATCAGAGCTTCTATTCTGAGTTTTCGGCTGCTATGAGGTTTCAGCTGTTTGCGTTTGGCTGTTTGTTCTCTGCGTTTGGAATTTTCTTCGGCTGCTATGATGATTTCTGCGTTTGGGTTGTTGTTCGGCTGCTCTGGGGGATGCTTTGGCCGATCTTTTTTTTTTTTTTTGTTTCCTTTGGCTGCTCAGGTACTTTTCTTCGACTGCTTTATTGGGTTTTCTTGTTTGCTGTGTTGCATTGCATTGTTGAGTTGTCTTCGACTGCATTGCTGGGTGGTTCTGTAGTGCTTGGTCTTTGGGTCTTTGTTTTATTATACCCCTTGTTTAGCTACTGTACGTGATGGACTCGGGTAAGCCAGATGGTTTGGTGGGACGTTTCGATGGAAAGAATTTTCCTTTGTGGGAATTCCAGTTTCGAACGTTTGTTCAGGGCAAGCGTCTTCTCTCGTTGCTATTGGGTACTCGCCCTAAGCCTGCTGATGCTGCGGGTAAAGATTTTGCCGATTGGGAGGCTGAAAATGACCAGCTGATCACTTGGCTGTTGGCATGTGTTGATATCCCTACCGGGCTGAGCTTACGTCGTTTTGAGGCGGCGAGTGATATGTGGAAACATCTCTGTACCACTAATTGTCAGGCGAATGCGTCCCGACAATTTGCATTGGAAACGTCTATCGCTAGACTCTCCTAGGGCAACATGGATATTAGATCCTATTATCAGGAGGCAATGAACCTCTGGACAGAGAGTGATCTTCTCTCGGCTTCACTCTCGTCGACTCCTACTCCTCTTGCTACTCTCGCTGAACGTACGAGGGGTCGTACCATGCATTTTCTTATGAAACTTCGACCTGAGTTCGAGTCGATTCGTGCCTCCCTTCTCCATCGAAATGTGACTGAATTGGATTCCATCCTGGCTGAGTTGTATCGTGAGGAAATACGTCTTCGGAGTCAGGCACAAATTGACTCTACTGCTGCTCGCTCATTGGATAATGCGGCTGTGTTTGCCGCTGCTGCTTATAAGCCGCAGTTCCAGTCCTCTTCATCTGCTCCTAGTGCTTCTCATGGCTCGGGTAATGGCTTGTCTAGTGGATCGGGATCTGCCCCTATTCGCTTTTGTCACTACTGTCGCGATCCTGGTCACATTCAACCCTTTTGCCGGAAGCGCAATTGGTGTAAC